TTCACTTTGGCTGAGATTGTCATACTTGATCTCAGCCAATTCAATGCTTAGGAAAGCATTGAGAGGCTATTGTGCATGTGTGACAAAACGCTGTGCGGCCAGTCAGAATCTCCATGGGGAGCGTCCTGCCCCCTACCCCCATTCTAATATACTGCCAACAAATCCAATACATTGCCTCCAAATCCTATAAACTCCCCCCCTCCACTCTAATACACGGCCCCTCCACCAATCTAATACACTGCCCCTCCTCCCTCCACTCTAATTGAATCCACTGCCCCTCCTCCCTCCACTCTAATTGAATCCACTGCCCCTCCTCCCAGCACTCTTATTTAATACACTGCCCCTCTCCCCAATTTAAAACACTGCCCCCTCCCTCCTCTAACACACTGCCCCCCTTCCACCACTCTGATACACTGCCCTCCCTTCTGCAAATGAATACACTGTCCTCCCCCCAATTTCACACACTGCCTCCCCCCTCTAATACACTGCCCCACTCCCTCTCCCAGATTAATACACTGCCCCCTCCCTCAAATTAATACAATGCCCCCCCCACTCCAATTTAACACACTACACAGGAAGGTCCCCCAAGTCCCTCTTCCCCTACCTTAAGATTAGCCACCTGTCATTAAGTTCCAGCCCTGCTCTTCTCTGCTCAAGTAGGCCAGACGCTCCTCTGGCACTGCTAGCAAGAGGAAAGAGGGAGTGGCTGGCCTGCAGAAGCACGCGATCGGCTGTGGGAGGGAAGACAAAAATCAGACAGGAAATACACAAAGTGGCCCCAGGGCAGGTGGGCCGCAAATAATCCATTGTGGGCCACATGTTTGACATGCTTGTTGCACACAATCGCCACTTAGTACGCAAGTTCCAATTAGCAACACACTATTATCCAGTTAAAATAGAGCCTTCAGACTAATATATACCATATACCATATTGGCATTTAAGTGCCTGTTAAAAGAGCTACATGTCATGCTAACGTCCAGCACTGCATATGACACATCAAAACGTGTGGGGCCTCAGTGCTTTACTCTTCATTATTAGCGACTCCCTGAAAAAGACACAGTGATACTCTGTAAACAGTTAGGATGTGATGATGTGAAGAGATTGTCCTAATAATACTTTACTATTTTAAGTTGTGTATTCTATTTGGAAATTGATCTAACATTTTACATTTGTGCTTTTGTCATTCAGGGTCAGGGTGATCTGCTGAAGAGCGCCAAGAACGAAGCTACAGAGAACATGAAACAAATTAACCAGGCTTGTCTTGCTAGTGGTCTGGCCAAACCTGTATCTGCAAGTACAGCAGCTGATGCAAAGTCCAAGAGAGGGCTGGAAGCAATAGAAGAGAAAGACACAGGGGAAGAAAATGGCCGTCTGTGAAAAATGGCAGATTTAGTAGCATTGGGCCTTCTAGGGCTGCTTCTAGATTTTTATGGGGTAGTCCTCCTACAGATTTTAGTGCTAATAACCTCTATTAAAGTTAATATTTTAATGTTTTCATCAAACTCATACATATATATTTTTTTAACATGAATGAGACACACTTAACTTAATTCATGTGTGAGAGAACAAAAAGAAAGGGTAGTTTTAAACTAACGGGCACTTTAGAGCTTCAGGGATTTTTTTTTTTTTTAAGGCAACATACAACTTTGAAAGTACCATTTCGTTTCTACTACATATTTCATACATACGCATGGGTCTAATAAACATTCAGTGGGATACTATAGGGGTTATCCTAAAATCAAAAAGGTTTCACTCATTTGGTGGAAGCAGCCCTGAGGCCTTTACGTGGATGACAAAGTTGTATCAAAATGTTTGTCTCTCATTTATTTTTCTGTTCCCAGCAGTGATTTCAGTGAGTGCTGTGTATATGTATGTCTTTGACATTTATAGGCAAATTTACTACTTAGAGCTGTTAAAGACCCATTCTGGGCCCCAAGGGGATTTAATAACATAGTGTACTTTTCAACTTGTGTTAAGAAATAACGTGGTATTAACCAAAAAAATATATCTAATTAACAGAGGACTTGAACCAAACTAATCTCTTGTACAAGCCCAGCAGAAGTGTAAAGATCTCAGGTGATAAGGAGCCAAAGGCTTCTGACTCTAGCTTACAAATGCAGGTTTTTAATGGGGAGACTTGCAACAAGGTTATATCACACTGTCGAGATGTTTTGTACTTGTAAAATCATGATCTAGTGTTCTAACATTTCCGTTCATAATTTCGTACGAATGAGCAGACCTTTCAAAGCGGATCACCATTTTAAAAGCTCTACAATAAAGTTTGCAGGTGTACAGAACTATTGGATACCCAGTTCTGTTCCCCCCCAAAAAAATGTTTTTATTGCTTTGAGGAGTACAAAAAAGAAAAGTGAAAAATAGCTCATCAAAATAATCTGTAAACCTGGTCAGCTCTGCTAACACAAGTTACCATCATTACACATTTTGAAACTGATTGTGGAGTTTTTGTTATAACCTTTATAGCAGACGCAGAACAGTATTGTAAACAATGTATGTTTGAAATGTGTACAAATGATCAAACTTTATTTTGAAGTAGAATTGTGGCTAGGCTATGTATGATAAACTTGATTGAAAGTATATAGATTAAAAAAAACTTGTCAGATCGTCTTTTATGTCCATTTACTGATCCTTCAGCAGCCTTCATTTAGTCTATCCCACAGATGGAGCTCACAGCTCTGCTCCATGTTCTAGCTTGGCATTTCATTCCATACGCATTCGGATATGTTTTGTAATACTTGATATGTGCTACATTTCCATTTATCTGTAGCTATAGCACATACGAAGAGAAACCCTCTGTTGTCTAGGTTGTTATTTCCTTTATTCTCTCAAATGAAAGCACTACACAGTCAAATTTTTTATTTGAGTACAAATTATAGATGCAGGAAAATTCACACCATTTGTAAGTAATGATTTTGGCACTGTATGACCAATCCAAGTATTGTATAGATACATTATTTAACATTGTCTGTTTGCTGAAGGCTGCTTGAAACATAATCCAATCTGGTATATATTTTGTATCCATTCCTACAAGAAAACAAAAGACTTTTAACTTGAATGAGAGGGACCACTGTCATTTTACTATTTAATTATGAGGTCTCCTTTGGATTTAGTGTAATTGTTTGTGTGTTTTATTTAATAGCTGCTCTCTCTTTTATTTTTTTTAATTCTTTTATTAAAAAGTTTTTTAGTATCCATCACCATAATAAGCAATATTCATGCATACACAAATGTACAAATGATGAAATAACATTCAAATAAATAAGCCAAAAAGGGGAAAATATACTGCAAAGCTTCCTATTTAAACTAAAATCCAATTATCAATTATTCTTTCAAATCCTGTTTTCAACAGTACTACTCTTGCTATCACTATTATTGTATGGGATCAACTGGGAAGAGCGTCAACTAGGGTGAGTAACTCGATCCCATCGGTAGTATATAAGAAATAAACCAGTAATTTAGAAACAACGGGGGACATGAGAAGAGGAAATGGGAAAATATGAGGAACAACCAACAGTATACAAGAGCAGGATTGGGAAGATGAGGAAAAAGAGTGGAAAAATAGCTTAGTTCAGCAAGGTAAAGCTAAGGTGCTGTGATAGAAGTGGTCAATGTAGAGCCTTGAGATCTTTGGGTCCCAAGTTTTATGGAAGTTTTTGGATGTTTGTGAATGAGAGCCGTACGTTTGTACATTTCCACCACATCCACTACTTTCGTTTGTACCATGACTAAGCCTAGGGTATGGGCTACCCCCCATTTTTAATTAATAGCTCTTCTGGCAGCTAAGGCCATTAGCATTTTATTTTGCTCTAGTAAGATTAGTTACTGACTTAGATAATAACCAGGTCTATGGATCTTATGGAGAGTGTTGTTTGGAGCAAATGTGATGTAATTCAGCTACTTCTAGCCATACTTGTTTGATTATGGAGCAATGCCACATAAGTGAATATAGGTACTTCTACTAGATCCACATTGCTTCCAAAACACATCTGGCGCTATCCAATGCTTTTTAAATAAGAAAACTGTTGAGATACCATCGGAATAGTGTTTTAAATATGGCTTACTTAGACATCAACAATAGATGTAGACTCTCATATGTTGGAACAATCAGAGGCTTCCTCTGGGGAGGCCAGATCCTACTCCAAGCAGACACGTATGTTAGCGTGTTAGACGTATTTGCCAGTATTATTTGAGAGTATATGTCTGATATTTGATTAAAGAATGAACTGGTGGTTTTAAACATATCTTTTCAAATGTAGTAGCCATTGTCAGACTTGTTGATGTATTCTGTAGGAAGCTTAGGAAATGTAGGTCTATTTGGGATTGTAATTTTTGAAGTCTGTCACACTTGGTGTAATTGGTAATGGTTGAAATGAATATAAAAACCTAGGCAGTAGTGTAATTTTAATAGAGGCTATCCTACCCAACCATTAGAGTATTTATGGAAAGAATGTAAGTCTTGTTCTGCTTTTCTTAGTAGGAGCAAATAGTTTAGTTTATTTAGTTTACTAGTTGGGTCTGAAGGCCAATTAATTCCCAGGTAGTGGAGGAGGGAATTCTGCACCTGAAGTGTGTATCTAGAATGGATAAGTTGCTTAAGCTTTCCCGGTGTATGTAAGGCTAAAGCTTTTGTTTTATCCAAGTTTAACTTAAAACTAGATGCAAACTTATAAGAATCTAAAGGGAAAGAAGGTTTGAGAGAGATGTTAGTGGATTAGTTAATGTTAAAAGTACATCATCGGCATAGGCCCCAACTTTATATTTCTCTCCTCAGGTTCACAGCTCCGTTACTGAACCCTCATCCCCAACTTTCTGCAGTAATAGTTCCAGAGATAGGGTGAACAGTAAGGGGGGCAATGGACAGCCCTGTCTTGTGCCATTATGTATATGAAAGATAGGTGGTTTTGTGTGAGGACTGAAGAGGTTAGCTGATGAGTTTTGGTAGATGCTTGATATTGCTCTCAGAAATCGATCTGAAAATCCAAATTTTTTTAAGAGTCCAGAAAAGAAATGCCCAAATAACTGAAAGCTTTCTTAGCATCTAATGATAGTAAGAGAGTTGGAATTTGTTTATGATTAGCATACCAAATTAAATCAAAGTAGGAAAAATGTTCGGCTCGGCATTCCAAAATATCGGGGGTTCGGAACTTCGACACTTCAGGACTTCGGGTAAGTGTAGGGTTAGGGGTAGGGTTAGGTTAGGGTTAGAGTTGGTTTAGGAATAGGGTTAGGTTTAGACATAGGGTTAGGTTAGGGGTAGGGTTACGGGTATGTTAGGGTTTAGTGTTACCCTAACCATATCCCTAAGCCTACACTAACCGTACCCCTAAACCTAACCCTACCTCAACCCCAACCACTAACCCTACCCCAACCCTCTACTGTTTCGCCACTTTTCAGAAATCTGAAGCACTTCGGCACTTCCGAAATTGTTCGGTTCGACATTCGGAAGCAACCGAATTTCCGAAATTCGTCTGAATTTGCATACAGAACGAAACAAATTGCACATGTCTAAATCAAAGCATATACTTGTGTTATTGAATGCCTGTCTGGTTAAGATGAAACTTACGTGATGTGGGTTCAGTTTTACTAGAAAGACTTCTGTTTACCAGTACTTTAGTAAAGAGTTTAATGTCTACATTCAATAGAGAAATAGGTCTGTAATGACCTGCTAAATGAGATTTATTTGGCTTAGGGAACAAGCAAAGGTTCACACTCAGCATGTCTGGGGGAAGTGAATTTCCTTGTTGTAGATGTTGTATGATGGTGAGGGATAAGTATAGAATAGGTTTTATAATAGTCTTAGAAAACCATCAGGGCCAGGGCTTTTATTTGGTTTTAGCAATGAAATACCAGCTATAATTTTTTCTACCACATTTTTGTTCAAAAGGGAGGCTTTTGCTTCCTTTGATAAAGTAGTAAGGTTTGAGCTAAGAAGGGATCTGGCTAGAGAATGAGCCTGGGTCTGACCTAATGTGGGCAGAGTGGTCATATAGAAAAGTGAAATACTCTTGGAATATTTTAACTATGTGCGTTCAGTGGTGTTGCCAGAAGGTGTTTGTAGTTTCCCAATTTGCATTCCTCCGTTTCTATTCCACAAGTGACGCTCTAACATTGTGTCTGCTTTATTGGACTTTTCATAATAGGTTTGTCTCGTCTTTTGAAAAACGTTTGTGGTATCAGTGCGTAATTGTGCTGATGTTCTAAGTCATGTATTGTAGAGAGAAGGGCATCTACTTCTTGTAGTTTACATTTTCTATCTGAAGAGGCAATGCTAATAATTTACCCCTGAAGGACCACCTTATGACTGCCCATAGAGTGGCCAGAGAAGACTCTGAACCATCACTTGTAGAGAAGGATTCCAATTCTTTCTGTGTATTTTCTCTGATATGTGGGTTATGGAGCAAAGTTGAATTAAAACGCCATGCCAATGGCCTCCTAAATAAATATATATTTAAATATAAGGTAATATTTTCATGATCAGACTAAGTTATTGACCTTATATTTGAAGATAAATTTTGGATTTAAACAGCAGTGGAGACCTGAAAGTAAGCTATTTTGAAGTATGATTGATGGGGATGAGAAAAGAAGGTGAAATCATGATCGCAGGGATGTTGCCCGCTCCATATATCCACTAGCCTGGTTTGGTCATCAACAGATCATCAGATTGTGTTCCTCTAATTTTGGGAATGCCCTAAACATTACTGCAAGCCTCCGGCACTGAGAAAAAATCTCCCTGAACTATCAATTTGTTGGAAGAAAATAGGCTGATGAGCTTGAAGCGTTTTCCAAAAAAGCTTGTTTTACTATAATTAGTCAACCGTGGTAGTTTGGCATCATTCTTTTCTACATGAAGGGGACAGGTTTTCCTGAGCAATATTGCAACTTCATTAACTTTCCCTGTTGGGGAGGTTGCCACATGTGATCTGTGTAGACTGAGGAGACGGAACATCCTTCTAGAGGCAAAGTGAGACTTCTGAAGGAGCACTTAATCTGCTCCTGTCCTGTTTGCCCAGCTGAGCATCTGGTGACATTTTTTGGGATTGTTTAAACAATTGCAATTAAGTGATACACACTTCAGTTTAGCTGGTATTTCTTGGCAGTGAGGTGCGTGATGGTCGTAGCTTGTAGATGAATGCGAATAGACAAAGCAGAAATCTAGGGGTGGGGAAGAAAGGAAGAAAAATCCTTGTATGATAGTAAGGGAAATACCGGATGAAGAATTCATTATGGAGGCAGAAAAGAATTGTACACCATGGATTGTTCTTCAGAGAATATGTCTGGACTTATGAAGAAGGGCCAGATGGTAGAGGGAAATGGGAATAGAAAAGAATGCCTGACCTGTAAAACCTTCTAGTCATGGAAGTCATGATAGTAGGGGAAGTCATTGGACAGTCAATGATTGTTCCTGAGTGCAGGATTAGTGGGAATTTGTGTTTTGACGGATGGGGAAAAAGGGAAAAGAGCCCTTTCCCCATAATTAAAACTTGCTTTCTAGTATAATGGGTTAGGTGTCTGTTTGTAATAAAGGTTGTTTATTGTGTAGTCAGGGGTTTGCAGATACAAATAAATATTTGAAAACTGGGGAGGCAAATATAAAAAAGATTCAAGATTGTCAGCAAATGATCATCTGAAACAACACAGCCTCTCAAGATACTGAAATGAGTAGTTTCCACTTCGGCAGGTCTCCTCCTTTTTCATATGACCATAATATTGTTGACCAGCAAAAACAAATATAAATATCTATATATAGTAATAAACAGAAAATGCAGTTGATGCTAATCAGTACATATGTCCATGAATGTGCAATTACACATAAAATCAAGGTAAAATGGGAAAGGATTTAATCCTAGAACTGTTATAAGGTAGTGCTATCAAAATGAGGGTTATTGTGCTACCTCTGCTATCCCTTTGTCTAATCAACTCAATTCCATTCCCTGGGCTACTAATCCAGACATCCATAAGCAAGGGCAAAATATGCTGATGTTAGCATAGGGTTCTGGTAATTTTTAGGTGTATTTTGGGTATGATTACTGAAAGCAAGCTTGTGAAAAGGGTTCAAAACAAATATGGCAATTGAGATATTTGGATTAAGAAGACATTCGGTGCAGTTATATTAACGAAACATATTTACAAATCAAAATAAAGAAAACTCTCAAATAAAAAATGTGTAAAGGGAGGTCATTGCAGATCTTACGGCTCCGAAGACTTGTAACGACAGACTTGCCTGTTATGGGAGTTGTACTTATGCGAGAGTCCCAAAGTTCATGGAGGTTGGGTGGAAGTGTCCCAGGAGGGGATCCTCATTTGTGATTTCTGTTTTCTTTTATGTCATTTCTGGACAAATCAGGCCTAAAGATTTAGTGGAAATTGGGACATGGTGTATGTCCGGCAGGACATGTACCTAATTTTCTCAATGGACGACAAGTTTAAATGAGTGTTACCGCATACCGCGTAAGCCTTTTCAAGATAAGACTGTTGTGAGTGGGTGCTAATCTCACTGTTTGTTTTTGGAGAGTGATTGGCAATAAGTCTTGATAGAAGGCCAGTTTGGTATCTTAATATTTCAGAGTTGAACACACCCTGGACATTCCTGAGTTTAATGAAACAGATTTATGATACATCCATAGGCTATGGAATGTTCCTGTTCCTATCTCTTTTCATCCTGTTACATTTAGCTGCATCAATTTTCAAAGACCACTGCATCTATAAGCCCACCGCACGCATGGATAAGTTACAAAGGGAAGCTCTGCTTCCACCTTGCCAGTACAGGTCATACTAAACACAAATACTTTTGCATGCTGGCTTTCTAGTTAAGACAATAAAATGTATTTATTTAATAAACTAATAGAAATCGTGCTGCATCTGCACAGTTTCATTAATTTGTTTTCATAAATGAATCTGGCATTCTCAGTGTCACCACTGAGAAAACAAAATGGTCAGGTTTTGATGTTTAGCTGCTTCCTGATTCTTGGAGAAGCTGCCAATATACATCCTATAAGGTAATTTAAGAAATGTTTTTTTTTATCAAACTGCAATGTTCTGTCAAGTTAGATGATAAAGTGTCGTCTTTAAATGCTGCCATCAAAATATTGTGTTGATCAGAACTGGTTAAGTCATGTTCTATTATACAAGTAAAGAGAATCATGACTACAAACATGACACATTCATTGAGTCTGGAAAACAAAATTTCAAGATTTAGCCGTATATACACTAGAGGAGGCAGGTCCAGCATGGGTGCGGGTGGATGGCATAAATCCCCAGAAGGTGCTTTTTTTATCATGCGTGATACTAGCCAACTTTGTTTCTTTTTGAACAGTCTCCTCCACTAAATATCCAAATCCCCAGGCTTCTTTAGTACAGAGTGATATTGAAATGCCTTCAGCTATTAAAGCATAGCATGAGTGATTAAAGAAACACTCCAAGCACTATAACCACTACAGCTCACTGTAGTAGTTACAGCACAATGGGTGCCCTGGAAACTTCTGAGTAGTTAAACTATTTAAGAATGGTTTGGCTTCTTACCTGGTGTACATCGGACACAAATCTCCTCCTCGACTTCTTCCTAGAGAAAGACATAAGTTCCTGCTGATCGATCTCAGCCTTGCACCCCTGGGTTCTCTGTTAGAAGAAGTGAAGAGTGGCAGCCAGCAGTCCTCAGTAAAAAGTGAACTACTTTACAATTGGATGATTAGTTAGAATTGGGGGGGAGGGGGGGCTGCTAGGGCACTCCTGTCACCATAACCACTATGGTTATCATGCTTGGAATGTTCTTTTGGATGTGCTTCTTGGTAGGAGGAGGGTGGGAGAGGAGAGGCAAATTACTCCATTATTTTATACTGCTTTTTTTCCTGTTCTATATGGTTTTATAACCCACAGCAGAATGTAAATTTTGTGTTCCAAAAACCCTAAATAAATATTACTCGGCAATGATTGCCCATATATGTGTTGATCTGTACTTAGCAGAGTAAAATAAGACAGAAATCTGATTATCCACTTCTGCCACTGCAAAGGAACTCATCTTAACATGCATAATGTAATTCATGCCAACAGTTAGAAATTGGGATGTTGGTTAAGATATGCATCTAAATCATATATAATGATTTTTTTTTTTTTTTTTTTATTATGACATAATCAGATGTGATTTTACATCCTTTTGTAAAAACAATAAGTTATATTAAAGCGCTGACTGACTTTTTGGGGGGGATGAGCAGGGGGAGAATTTGCTAAAATATGGTATTCTAACAACATTAGATTGCCTTGAGCCTTCTGTCCACATAATTACGCACTAAAATACATGACCTCTCGTTATCTTTAACAGTGTCTTCAGTCTCTCTTATTAATTGCTGTACATAGAAAAACTGCTGTCATCTGATCCATATTGACGGAATACAACTAGAATACACACCTGCTTTAATAGAGAAAACCCTGTAACATATTGGTTTTGCACTGAAACATACACTTTGAGGTCAGTGTCTCTGCTGCAGTTCCTGTTTAGATAACAATAGATTTAATTGCAACCTGCAATATTAGTTTTCAATCTAACTAGGAGGATTCCCTGTAGCAATGTTGTTGTGTAGATTGTATTAATAGGTCAGTGAGGAGTCGGCATTTGAGCGCATTAAACTGGCAAGGAGATGCTTTTACCCAATAAAATCTAATTCTATTAGAAATTATTAGCTTCCCCTTGAGGTCTACTTCACGAATACATTCCAAGGTGCGCAAATAAGCAGGCTCATAAATATACACATCGATGCCAATTAAAAGCTCAATTATAACAAGATCCACTCACACATTTTCAAAGAAATGTTTTATATATACAACAGAATTTCACCTCTGGATGAAAACAACGCATCATCTGTTTTAGTGTATTTACATTTGTGTCACATTGTGTATCCTCTGTTGTCCCTTTCTTTGTACAGTTTAATAGAATAAGCTGGTGATTTATAAATATTAATATTACTTGTTCACTCTGATTTGTATAAAGACTCTTAAAGAATTTTTTTATTATTATTATTATTATTATTATTATTATTGCCGAGGGATGTGTGTAGTGAAAGACAACTGTCGCTCACTAAAACATTACAAGCACTGTACTCAAGTGCTGCTTGATTTGTAAATCTTATTTTATAGTAAAGATCATATTTCAACTATAGAGCAGTCCCAGCGGTCCCTGAAAATTCATTCCTATTATGGTATTCAGGCACGGTTGTTAACTAAAGTTTGAATTTTGAGGAATATAAAATGAATTTCAGGTTTTAGGCCAAAATATTGAAACTAAAAACATTCATGGCTAAAAAATTGTCTGAATCAACTAATTTTGTTTGATAAAGAACCTACACGTTCACAGTTCAAACAAACAATTTTGAACTAAAATTTTAAATTTACTTTGCGTCCCAAACAGTTTTCACCCTTTGTAGAAAAACCTTGTCTGCGATGTCACACCATCTTAAAATTAGAGCAAAGTTTCTGAAATAAAATTATATTGAGCACTGAAGAGGTAAGAAATGCCACTTGTAACCTTGGACACAAGGAGAATTGTTTCGCAAACTCCAGCAACTGTAAAATGAGAATGATAGAATAGCAATACACATTAAAAATAACAAAAAACGGAAAAGCTGATCTTTTTATTATATCACTGTATAGTTGTTATTATTGAATATTTATGTTTGGACTACTGGATTATAGGTTTTGGGACAGACATCACCATTCAGAATGAGAATATCTGTGCATTTTCTGACATTTGCACATGAAATGATTCTGTTTTATAGAACAGTATGTAATGGTGTGAATGTTGTATTTTGGTAAAGCCTTGTGCGGTTATACTTTCCTATTGCTTGAGGAGTTCTGTGGGCTCCTCTTTGTATTTTTTTTTTTAACCAAGTGGGTACATAACAAACAACCTATTTTCTTGAGATAAGTCAGAAAAGTATTAAAAACATGGCCTCTCTGGGCTTCTGTATATTTGAGTTAAATGTAACTTTGGAGAACAGCTAAACCTAGGCCTTTCATTGTGGTTAGTAGTAAGTGTCTTGCCGTCCATTTGCTTAAACTAAAGCTATCCTTCCAATCTTAATGTTCTTTCCTATCTTAAATCACTGGAATTTTTCTTACATTTTACATACCATTAGGAGACTAACATGCCTCCATGGCTCTTGCTATATACATATTATAGCAATGGTTTAACCCTGAAGTTAGGGCGCCAACAAATACTTTTATTTTTAATGGTATTCAAGTGTTGTATAATTGTAGGATTAGTAAGTAATGTTTCAACATCTACATTTAGCTCACACAGAGACATGGCACTTTCCAAGATCTCCACCACTTGGGTCAAACTAGAATGGACCTTTTCACCTCACACAAAATGTTTCCAGGATACTGTGGGTTTCTTTTGGAATCTCCATCAGGCCTGAATAACTCTTAATTACAGTGTTACAGAACAATGCTGTCAGATTTACATACGTACATTCTTATAAACATACATTACAAATCTTATAGAGCTATTTATTTACAACCATCCATATTATACTGATCACCCTATGAATGTTATGAGACCATCTATGATAGTGACATCATAAATAAAACAAAACATTAGGTGGGGGATGCATGTCTCCTACCAGGAATATTTCTTCAAAGAAGTGGTGGGTCCTGACATTAATAAAAACTAAAAAGGTTAGAATAATTTTTTTAGAATTTACAATTTTATCTACGGGTATTCTCCGAAGAATGATAAAAGTAATTTAAATGGACCACGCAAAGCACACTGACAGCCTCTCCATGCAAGCTTGCCTTTGAATCCTCACTATTTTCTGTGAAAAGTCTGGTGCTCATACTCCACCCCCTTTCCTTTGATACTAATTGATAAATATCACTTCCTTATTCAGTCATGCAAGTTCTGAAATGGCAATGCCCAGGAAGGCCACACTACAGCAGAGACTGCTGCAAGGTTTTCAAGAGCTGGAAAAATTGTTGGTGTTTCTCTCCCATAGAAAGCCATTTGTGAACCAGAATTAGTTGAGAGTTTGCCATTTCCTGGTTACAAAAAGGATTTCCCTGCAAAAGAATCGGAGCCTGCGGATTTGCTGCAAACTAGTGGAATTCAGAAGCTAGTATATATTTCTTTTTAAATTAACTTTATTTTAACCCTTATAGACTTATAAAATTGATATGAACTGGAACGCAATATATAAATCTCCTGTCACAAATGAGGTCAGCAGAGCTGTAACAATTAATTCTATCAAGCCAATAATTTGGGTAACCGGTTTTAATTTGGTGTTTGATGCTAGCCTCCCTGCAAGCATAGCATGATTCTAACAATGTCTGGAATGCATAGTGCCACCTATCAATGTTGTTTATATTAGAACCTGATTTGTCTAGGTAGATATACACACATACACAGGCCCTGCTTCAAGGACAACGCTATTGCCATACGCCAGGCGGACAAATGTGGCAGCATAGTGGTTAAGAATTACACTGATCATCCGACAACTGATGGATCCCACTACTTACAATCAAAATAAGACCCAGGAGCAGAATTTGCCAGAAACCTCTCTAATTCCAAGGGTAGGGGGCTTTTCCCCAAGTTATTTACATGTTTGTGTCCTGCTTTGTTATCCTGATGAAAGTCCAAGGATTGGACTGAAACATGATGTATTTCACATAATAAGTAAAAAAAATTACTTGAACAGTAATAAGTCCATTGAGTGCTCTCCACCATTGTATCATATTTAACCAACCTTCAGTTGGGTTTTTCAGCATTACTGTCAGCTTGACGCATGCCTCCTGGCTCACACATAATTATCTTGAATGGTGACCTATTTCTGGGAGGGCCATCCTCACAGTATCACTGACTCACCCCTTATTCACATTAAGTCTTGGTAGACAGTGCGTACCTGCGAACAAACAGGGCATGCAAATCAAGGCATTTCAAAGAGGACAGTCATGACACGTGCTAAAATCTTCCTGTGAAAACATGCAGTGTGCAGAAAACTATATAGATAACTAAAAAATGATGCTGATCTGTAAAATGCCCACAATCTTCAAACAGCACAAATGAAGCATATTGGAGCTGACTATCCCAATAAACTCAAATTTGTGTCCTCTGTGCATACTTCTTGTATTAACATGTAATTTTGCATTGTTGTATTTGTAAGGTCATTTTATTTCTTTGTTGCCTTGACCATAATGTAGGATTCTGACATTCCTCAAAATGTCATGATGCTGCGTAATTTCTAGTTAGGATTAAAACAATACATTTATTCAAGAGCACAGCTTTTATTTTTAATGTAATACAGCCCTTCTAACAGTTACGATTTCAGGGTCCTTTCCCGGGGTTCTTGTGTCGCTGGTGCTTCTGAAATTGATGGGATTATATTATTCTTATTCCTGTTTATCAATAACTAACCTGTTCTCTTCACACTACTTGAAAAAATAAAATGTGTGTTAAAACAAACAGGGAGTGGTGTGAGTTTATTTTTAATGTAATTATAAACGAGGGTATATTCAATAAATCGCAAGTTCTGTGGACATGATAACAGATGTTTGGCTAAAATTGGATAAAATCTACTACTTTGGTATTTATTTCCCAAGTTAGTTCTCAAGGTGCCATAATTCACCGTCATCAATTTTTGGCCTGGATTTAATTAGAACAGATTGTCTTTATCAGAAGTTTATCAGCTCTCAATAAGTCATTTATTGGTTCAGAATAATTAAACTTATATCGTTAAAGGCTTATCAGAAATCAATAATTATTAGTTTGAATATCGAAATAGATACATATACTTTATCGGACACATTTTAACCAAGCTTTGACCCCTTAAAAGGTGTTGATAAATGGGTGTTCATGCATAAAACAGCACATGAAGACACCACACTATGCTCCGAGAGCCCAGGGATATATCAGGTTATACAATAATGTCTCTTCTGCTATGCAATTTGCCAAGTATCACAAGTTATCTGCCATTTAGGAGTTAAGTTACTATTGTTTCTGTTTATGCAGCCTTATCCACACATCCACTGACTGTGACTCACACAGTCTGCATGAAAACAAAATGATTTAATTTTCAATCAGATGTAACTTACTTTGAACATTTTTATCTTCTGTTCTGTACATTTAACTTAATTTACAAACAAGAGACTCCTGCATGGTCTAGCAAGCAATTAACAGAGCAGGAGACAATGCATTTTAAATTAAACAGACTATGCAACAAAGGAAGTTTAAACATTAGATCACTCTTTATGGGAAGTGTTTAGGAAGTCTGTGTAAGTCACATGCAGGGAGATGTGACTAGGGCTGCATAAACAAAGTGATGTAACTCCTATATGGCAGAGAATCAAGCAGTGAAATTACAGGGACATGATCTATAAACGAAAACTGCTTCATTAAAGTAAAGTTGTTTTGGTGACTATAGTGTCCCACTAAGTGTTTGTAGAAAGAAAATATTTTTTTGGAGAGTGTTGTTCAGTAAAAACTTACTCAAACTTTGAGTATTAGATACCCTGCTTCATTCACCCTAGTGTGAGACTGAAGTAATATGGGTGGAAGTGGTTAGGCCGCATCAATGTTTCCTTCATGTGCAAATCTGAAACACTCAAAAGTAGAATGAAACATATTTGCTATTTCAGTAACACTGACTCAGCGGTGAGTGAACTTTTACAGTTTTAAATGTAATAGCTTCTGTGCTTATCTGTTTATCTATTTCTTTAACTTCCCTGCTGTTCAATGCACATTCCAGGTGTAAATAGGTTATTCTGTATCTAGAGCAATATACAGAGATATTCTGCAATCCCATGACAGCTGCCCTACATACCTGGATGTTTCATATCACTTTCCTGGCTGGAAGAGAAATGCTCCCTTAAAAATAGATTTGGAGGACAACTGTTAACGCATTTCAATTTTTCATGCCAGTATTTGAACAGTAGGCAAAAACTGTGATCGAATATAAAAATGGGATGTGCATATCGTAACGATCTGCATAACACTAATTTAGTTAATATGGTTGTGACAAAAGTACAAGATTTTTTTATTTAATTCTTTTTTTTTAAACATTAATCAAGCTACAGTTTTTTTTTATAATTGCTTCTAGACTGAATATTTTATCCATGTTCATTAGAGCATGTAAACAAGGCACCAATAACTGAGTAAGTCCTATCACACATAGGTACTACTGTCTTAAATTAGAAAATAGTTAGATTTGCATGTTGCACAAGGGCAGACGGTTTTTCATTTGAGCTATATCCCTGTTAATTACAGAAATGCAAAAGTGATGTGTCCTCTGAAGCTTTCAGCCTGTAGGCTTGAGATAAGACCTTCAAATCTTGTTTGTATCCCTCACTAGAACACCCATTCAAATCATACCACTTTATAGAATGTTCTCTTGTACTTCAGCATTCAGATCACATCCTTGTCTCCCCCAACATTCTAAATTAGGATTTTTTAAAACAAACTAAACTGTAATAGGACAGCATAAAGCCTTATCTTCTCGATGTGCTGTTTTGCAATTGACAGCCTGTGAGAGAAATTGGTCTATGTGGTCGCCCCCACCCTCTATAGCCCCTTAGCTTGCAGTTTCTGTAAATAAACTTTTCACTACAGTACAGAGCATTCTGAATTCTTATGACAAAAAAAAAAAACAGTATAATGTCAATATATAGAGGGGAAAATGTAATATTTTTGTATATGTTCTCAAATTCATTCATAATGACATAATGGGAGGGTTGGCTTCAGGACCTTTACTAGTCTGGCACTAAATGGGTTTGTGAATGCGCTGGTGACCTTCATTCTCCATGTTCTGCCCTTTTTGGATATTTCCTGATGGACTGTGGTGGGGAAAGGCTAATATTTATACTTGCCCCCTAGCCAAAGATTGGCAGCCCTCCCCAGAATGACGCTGTCAAAGTTATTTACAAAAGTGAATATTGTAAGGAATATATATTTAAGAGTCTGAATGTTAATTCACAACAATTTGCTGTTTAGTGAATAAACAATTTTAAAAAAAATCTCTTGTAATTAGATAGCAGTCCATGGGAATATTGCAATTTAATTAACACGGAGCAATCAATGCTAATAGAAATGAGCTACAAGAGAAGTATACTTAGAAAATAGGTTGAATGACAGGGGTGTAACTTTTTCTTATTCAAGACAATTTAGAATTCAAATATATTTTTTTGTAAAATTTGCAGAACTGATCTTGTTCTAGATTTACAAGTGCTGCGGACGTTCTAAGGAGGTGGCATGAAATCCTCTCTCTCTAGACCGAATATTATGTGGCCTCACTACATTAATGAAGAGTGCATGATTACGAGGACTTGATAGAAGTATAATTATGCACTATCAGCTTAATGAAAAGCACATAATTAATAGCAGTGAGCCCAGAGAGAGATGGAGATATATTTGAACTCTGAACATGTTAACTAGAATGGATGGGTGAATAAAGACACCGCAAAAACAACTAAATGTGTGTTTGTGACATTTTGCTACATAAAACTGTCTGGGCATTCTTTACTGCTGTTCCATTTCTTATAAATAAAAACCTATAAATGATGCTGTGTGACATTGCCATATTGCCCCCCACAACTTCTAGCATTGGAGCTACCCCAGCCCAAAGGGACTCGGCATTCCACCACATATAAAGGGCAGCTGCCCCAACCTTTTTCCAGAAGTCATTTTAGAGATAGGTGATATGGTCTTCAGGCAACAGTATTTAACAAGCTATTACTTAGTTGGTTTTATTGACAACACAATCAGGTTTTTTCTTCTTACTAATGACGATTTTTGGTTTGTGCAAGGTGAAAAAAATTGATGCATCCAAATCAATTCTTCTGAATTTTGTTTGAGGTTCGGATGAACTGAATTCTGTCCATTGAATGATCAAGTTCATCTTAATTTGGACCAAAAAATGGTATTCATTATTTATTTATTTTATTTGGACGAAAAAAATTTATGTTTTCAAGCTTTTGACCATTTTGATCTTTTAGATTTTTTGGGGGAGAGATGGAGGGGTTATATAGCTCCCTAGTTTGGTATACTTAAATGTGGCAATCTCATATATGGATACTAAATTTGTGAGCTATGTACTAAACAGATGAAAGATGAAAATTAAGAAAAAGCACTTTTCTTAACGTTGTTCTTGCAGCTTTATAGTAGATAGCTCCCTAAGTTGGTACGTTTATGTTGGATTACCATATTTAAGAATACCAAGATAGGGAAGTGTTTAATATATATCAACCTTGTCATGCCCAGGGAGCATGATTTATTGTTTCTCTGTAGAAATATTGTTAATAAATATGATGTGTATGGTAGTATGACTGATTACAGCAGTAGAGCAGTTAATTTGGCTGTGTTTCGATAGAAGAATGAGACATCTGTTAGCATTGCAGGAAAAGGGTTATAGACTTGGTCCCTTCTTGCTAAGCCAGGATCCCTTTGTGGCCAGGTGGGAAACTCTTGATTCCTTTTGACATGTTAATTGACAATTAGCAGTCAGGAGACAATTTTCTGCTAAGGGTCTTGAACAAAGAACAATACTAATTATCCAGAGAGGAATAATAGTGTCTCCTGTTATACAAATTCAGAATGATGAAAAGATATCCCCGACAGAAGAAGTCTAAACATAACTAGTGGTTGTGGGAACTGAAGAAGTCAGCCATTCTAAGTCGGAAATGGGTCTTGAGATGTGTCTGTGCATCAGATAAATTGTAACAAATTCTCTGCTGAAAAAAATATTTATGGCAAAAATAGGAAGGTGTATTCAACTTAGAGGTCCTACTGTTTTATGGTCCTACCCTCATCCCTGTACCTCCATCGTAGGGGTTGCATGGAAACTCGAGATGTGCACAAAGGGTGAGACTTGTAAAATGTCTTGTGCTTGCTAGGGGCCAAAGACAGCTGAAACAATCGTCCGGGGTTGCTGTATCTCTCGTACAGAGGGAACTTGTCAGCATTTCAGTTCTGGAGTGCCTGTACGGGTGGGATCAGTCTGATGCAAATAGTATA